CCTCCTTCCCTTGAGTATCTTGCAGACCAGGTGTGTCAATGACTATAACGCTAATACCAGGAACTGCATTAGGATAATGATACGATTGAGAAATTGCTGTGCAACTGTCAGTGTCGGCCCCTTCTTTGGCTATTTCTTCGCTCATCTCAAAGATACTATTTGCCAATGCTGATTTTCCTTGACCTGTTCTCCCTATTATTAGTAGAGTGATGTCGGTTGATGCTTTTTCATCTTTCAGTAGCTCTTTTGTTGTCGCCATTGCTGTAAAACCCACTTCTAATGAATAAAATAGAATACAATGATGATGATTATACATGGTAGGTAAAGTATACTTTGATTTGAAATGTCAATTGAATCTTGATCAAATGAGCACGAAACAGGTATTTGCATATTTTTATCTGAACTGCCATTTGCAACATCTATTAATATTATTTAAGATAAAAATAGTAATTTGTACCATAATAGCTGGTAATTGTGGAGGCTGGGAGTAAATTTTGTTGAATTGCTAAACTTCAGTGATTGGTGAGTCTTTATTTTCGCAAATTTGTGGCCATATGCCCTTGAACATCACATTTTATTTTGGCAAATAGGCTATCAAAATTTCAAATTTAGCTTCCTGCAAAATTTTATGCTGCATGGTATAATAATTATAATATACCTGATGCTGGTGTATCTTCACATCCTATCATTGACAATCCAACTGAATGTAGCACATCAATAATAGTTATAATGCAATAACCATTACATACCTTCTAACTCAGTTTCGACTAAAATAATAAATAATAAATAAGGATTGACAAAAGGTAGAACTGCTAACTTGTTTGATTTATAGCTGATGCTGATGGAGTCAGACTTCCTATAAAAAGTAATACCTTTATGAACTAATGTCATTTATAGCCTACTTACTTATTGTGTTCTTCAATTCATACTGTAGACATTCTAAATGCAATTAAAACAAGAACAATTATTATTACAAGGATATTAATTAAGACAGCAACAGTAGCTAAAACTATAGTTCTAGTGATGGGCAATATGGCCAATTTTCTTAATTTTCGATAATGATCGATAATGGACTTTTTCAGGAAATATCGATTATTAACGATACGATAACCACACCTTCATTTTGGGGTGTGTCAAGGGTATGGCTAACGATTTTAGCACAGATATAACTGTACTGAACATGAGAGAAGATCATTTCCTAATCATTTCCATGCTCTTGAGCTTGGTTCTCTTCCTATTAAAGTAGGCTGAGCTAATAACTGCTCAGTTGCTTCTTTCTTGCAGTTCAACAGTGCAATTACTTATTAAAATTAGTTATTTAACCTTAATAAATGGGCATGGTCAATAGATCGATGAAAATTGCATAAAATTTTCGATAATGATTCAAATCGATTCTGTAAAATATCGTTTATATCGATAAAGAATCGATATATCGCCCATCACTATATAGTTCATTATACCAACTCCTTAATTTTAATTAATCATTAGCATCATGACATTTTTTATTCAAATTGTTGAAAAGCGCATAGAGTAACTCGGAGCTATTCCGACCCGTTTCTGCACTATGATCTAATTAAATATTCACGAAGTCATAACTCACTCTTTTTTGCTTTATGTCATTCATTTTATTCATCAATGAGTTCTATTTTGTCTATTATATTTGTACTTTCTTGATATCAGCAAAAATCAGTTTAAACTTTGGATGAAAACAGTACTTTCACTGACATAGCGACCCTCCGGATACTAACTAGTACCGTAAATCTTCTAAATATTCAACACCCTAACTTCGTCAAATTAAATATTTTTTCCAAATTTTCACAAAATTACCTCTAATTATTCAATTATGCAAAATTACTGGCTGAGTATTTTAATTTCGACATAATCCTCTTATTTTGTCACATGATTGACCATGTGCTTCAGTCTACCTTACCAAGCAGCTGAGACTTTGGAATGACCCTCCCTCCAATTTAGTCAATAAAAATTTTTTTAAAGTAAAAAAACATTTTTAACCTCTAATTTTTCAATATTGCTGATTTTAAGGTGAATTTAATTTGCCGAATTTTTAGAAGATTTACGGTATATGGGAAAATTATGCAGTGACCAGAAATATACAAGCACTATCACTAGGTGATAATACGTGAAAAAGCTAATGAATACAAATTTTTAACCAGAGTTGCTTAGCTGCACTTTATAAAAATCAAGCTGTTCTTTGGTGCTGGTAGTTAGAGAATTCTATGCTGAATAGATACATCCTTGTTTCAGTCCTGTATCTGCTACAGTTAAGAAGTTACAACAGGAGAAAGAGGACCCTCTAACTGGGGCTATTCCGACCGCTGCACATGGATTTTCCATAAGTTTATACAGGGGGACAGAATAGCCCCGACTTACTCTAAGCATTTAAATTTTATATGTTTACTAGTAACACTGCTTACTGAACAATTTAAACAAGTTATATATACAATTGGCATAAACACAATAAAAATTTAATAGAGCTATAAAAGCTAAACTGAAAGCTTGCTTGATAGAATGTTATGATCAGGTAAGATAAAAGATCAGATAGGCTGATAAAAAAAGCATTACATTTTGGGGTGAGCCTCAACATGACAGGCCCTAGTCCCATGGGAGTAATGTCTTTTCTTTAGAATATTGCTCAATAGTTAAACCAATAAAACTTTTTCTTAACATCATTGAGTAATTTTCTTGCATTGGTCAAGGAAAAATTTCCTCTCAAACTACCTTGAATCAAAATTGAATGGCTGGGTAGCAATGATAATCTTAAGGCTTACCGTCACCATCATCTTCAGCTTCAGGAGCTGTATTAAGACGCATATAACTGCTCCTGGCCATGAAAGAATCTCTTCAAAGACTGCAGTAGAGAGACGAACCGAGGTGGTGATTCTTAATAGGAAGAGTAGATATTTTCTTCTTGTCAATAAAGGCAAACTGGCGAATTCCCGATCCGCCCACTCACTAATGAATAATTATAGAGTAATTCTCATACAGGAAAAGAAAGGTGAGAGAACAATATTAGCTATTACAAGAAAAGTTTTGAAGCAAAAGAAAACAAAATAGAAATAAAATAATTGAACTGAGACTGTGTTGTGCACATCAGTGATATTATTACTGTTTGGTGGTACGTGAGACCCTCCCATTAATCAGGGACCATTAATCCACAATCAATCAAGATCCAATGAAATTAAATATTACTTAAACAAACAATGCAGGCATTAATTATAAGAGTGATTTATAAAGTATTTGTGAGTGTCTGGTTTCACGACATTGCTCCATGGACATAATGATATCTTTAGATAAAATCCTACGCTGTTTCGGTCTGTTAGTTCTTGAAGTCGACTAAAAGAAACAAGAAACTGTGACTTGTTGCTCACACTCTCATACAGGGACACACTTTCCAGTTTCCACCCAACCACTCTCTCAATCTCACCCTCATCTCTCTACCATACTGCCTCTAGGTGTGTGCTAATAACAAAGCACATATGTCACATTTTCTCTCACTCCTCATCACTCTCTCTCCTTACAGGTGAGTTAAATACAGAAGCTATGGAAGCGTTTCCAGCACTAGAGCTTGCCTAGAAAAAATGAGCTGATCATTTACAGTGAGATAATAAACATACATGTACATGCAATCATGTGACATTCATGTGTACATGTACATTAT